GAGTCAAGTTCTAAGTGAGAATAATAAACATAGATAATTATTATCATTTAACAAATAATCCTAACTGATAAATAAATATTTTAAGATAATCTTAAATAATAAACAAAATAACAAGATAAATTCTAATATAGAATACTAAGATAATTAAATATCCTATGATTGTAAATGCACACGACACATACTTTCTCCTAATGAGTGTAAGGACATATTCTTCTGCATCAACTTAATATATTCAAGATTCTATTCTCAAAATATGTCTCATAAAAATCAAATTCGGATTGTCAAACAAAGAGAACTTTTTTTTTTTTTTACTAACTAAACTAACTCTTTTATATTGAAAAAAAAAACTAACTCGTATGGGTGGATATAAAAATATATATGAAATAAAAGAGAGTTAATAATATAAACTCAAATGAAAGAGGTAATTTAAAGTTTAAACTTCTGAAGCATGATACATTTTAATATATAAAAAATTAAATCAATAAATAAAAAATCTCATGGTTGCGCCTTCTAGCTGTTTTTGGTTGATGCCAACTAGAAAAGTTCAATGTTCATGTACGATGACCGGGATTTAGTCTTATCATTCAATTCCAAACTTCTTGTCAAGTCTTTTTCTTCTCTTCTCCACATGATTTTGTTGGCAAGTATAAAGAAAAGAATCCTGCGAGGTTTATTCAAGATTACTGTTCTAAATTCCTCGTGTTTTTTACATATGGCTTTTCTTTTTGCTGTTCATCTCAATGTTGTTAGAAGTTTCGTCCAGTTAACAACAAGAATCCGATATATATCTCCTATTCTTTGCCCAATAGTTTTGACAATCAAAATAATATTTAAATAAAAATTTTAATTTAAAATTTAATTCAATTAATTTAATTATCTTAAAAGATAATATTTGACAGTTAGAAGATTCCAATTTAAATATTTGTAATTTTTTATTTCTATATTACAAATTTTCATACTAAAAAAATAAAGCTTTGAATTTTATTAAAAGTGTAAACAAATTGTCAAATTTTTAGTTCATAAAATTAAAAATATTAACATTATTATAATTATACCGATTAAAATTTGAAATTTAATGAATAAATTTCAAATACCAAAATTTTTAATTAAAATAATAAATTGTTTGTTAAAGGAGGTGGCAATTGGCATACCTTATGTATTTTGCACATGGCGATTTTCACAGAAGTGCCGGGGCCAGGGAAATGGAATGAATTCAAGGATGACAATGACTTTGTGCAATCCTGGCCACATGGTCATGCTGCTTGGAACAAAGCAGACGACTTCAGCAGCAGCGCTGGTTTGCTGATTTGCCATATAGTTGGCAATGGACTGGACAGATCGCTATGGAAAGCACCGAAGGAGATCAAATAAATTTGTCGCCTTTACCATTTTAGGACGGGGAACTGAGATATCTTTTTAGTGATTGTGTATGCCTAACTAAATTAAACGTCAAAATGGAAAGTTTGGCGCAAGCTATTATCTTTTTGACAAATGGAAAGGGACAGTTTGTAGTGCACATGATTAAATTTCTTAGCTGCAAAAATATTCTTGAGATTCAATTATTCGCTTGCATGTTTCAAATAAATCTTAATTGCAAATTCACTTCTTTTAGTGAAAATTTGATTATATTTATGCAATTGTTATTGAAGTTATATGCGTATAAAATTAAATTACTTTTTATTTTGAAATTTAGCCCTGTTAAGTTAAAATTTAGACGAATTGAACATTAAAAAATGCCAAATTATGTATTGTTCGTGTACTTTTCAAAAATTAAAATTTAATCTGATCAATACTTTAAATAAATTTAATTTTTGTTCTTTTCAAGATATAATGTCAATTCAAAATTTAGTAGAGTTAGAAAGTCACATTAAAGTTGCTGACGTGATAATTTTTTTTATCACATGAGCCGTTGACGTAGCTTTTTTAGGTTACAGTACCAATCATATAATTTATTTATTTATTTTTCTTCTTTTTTTTTTTTTCTTTCTCCATCAAATAAGATCCAAACCACGAGTCAATAAAACCCAGTTTCAATGATCGATCGCCGTTTTCACTGTCATCTATCGCAGCCAACCATCGTTCGTCAGTGTCGATTTAGAGGCATTTTTTAAAAAATTATAATCCTGTAGTAGTGAAAAAGAAGTCAAAAGGAGTTCGGATATGGTTTTTGAAAGAAAATAGATGTCGATGAGCGATGACTGGCAACGGTGGATGGCAGCCGATCATCGATATTTGGGTTTTGCCGACTTGAGATCTAGGTTGAAGAGAGAAAAAAAAAGAAAAAAAATTTAAAAAAAATTATCTGACGTGACCATGCTGTGGTCTAAAGAAAACCTTATCAGTAGTCTATATGATAAAAAAAATTATAAAATTAGTAATTTAATGATAATTTTGTAATATTCTTAGATTGTGAATTGATATTTTACATCTCAAAAATTACATTGATTAAATTTATTCAAATTATTATAACAAAAATTGAATTCTAATTTTGGAATGAGTACAAAGATCAATCCCCTGATTTAACCTTAAAAAATTTGTTGTTTTTCAACAAATTACCACAACCAAGCGGATGAAATAATTTGAGTGGGGATGAGAGGAAATGAACACGTGAGAAACGCGTTTTAATGATAGGCAAAAGGCATACAGCTATAAATCAAGTGGCCTCCACTTCCATTGTTTTGTACTGAGCTGGAACAGGGCTGCACTTGCTTTATTAGTTGGGTTGCTCGGTGTTTGATTCCCTATTTCGGCTTACTCATCCGTGCACGTTGAATTACCAATTCGGGATTGGATTGGATGAAGGATGACAAACATTACTTACTGCATATTACCTTCATCCTATCTCTTGGTCTTTTTTTTTTTTCCCTCAATTTGTTTACTGATTGCAACTTTTACTTTCTTTTTTTTTTTTTTTTGGGGTTGAAAAAAGTTTTGCATTGATAAAAAGTTTCTTCAATATCATTTTATCAGCTTTTTGATTAATAACAATTATATATTAATGCCGTTGTAATTTATAGTTTAATTTAATTGATTAAAAAAATCTTTTTATCAAAATTTGACTTGTAAAAAAATATTTTAAAAATAAAATTCTGAATTTACCGAATCAATTATTATTAATTTAGTGCAAATATAATACTAATAATCTAATAATTTGGACACTTTTCTACTCTTTCACTGTGCATTTTTTGGTCACTATAGATCATTTTAGATGCATGATTTGATTGAAATTAATATTATTAACATGATTAAAAAATGTTTAAAATGTTGTATAATTGGACTGTTTGGTTGAATATAAAATAAATAATGATGTAATTATTATTTAATACTTGTTTGCTATTTTCGAGTTTTCATTAAATTGTGTGTCTTCTTATCAGATTTAGGCCTTTTTAACAATTTCAAAACAAATTAACATTCAAATAATATTTCAAGTTTCAACATGCATTACATAACCATTACATTCAAACAGAAGAAATAGAAAAATAAATTAATAATGGTTAAACTTCACCTACATCTCTTATAATTTCAACTTTTTACATGCAACTTGTGAATTTTTTTTTCCCCTCATTGAGCATCATGTGAATAAGTTTCGTTCTATAAGAGTTATGCTGTTAGGTTTATCTAATAAAATTATAAAAATACCCTTAAATGTAAATAAATATAATAACTTCTGAATTAAAGGCTTTTTAGAAATATTACTAGATAAAATTAATGGTGTAATCTTATGTGTGAATTGGACTTAACCATGAGAAGCTAAGTGAATATATATATATATATCTATTACGTGAGAAAAGTTGAAATTACGGGGTACGTAAGAAGAGTTTATTCATTAACAAGTAACCTAACATTCAAAAAAAAAAAAAATCTAAAATAAGTTTGATTAGATCTTCAAGAAATAAGACACAAATTTGAGACTTAAAATTTTCAAAATCTCTTGATTAAAACAAAAATCAAAATCTCTTATTAACTATAACCATAAGTCAAGATATAATTGTAAACTTTTATGTTTACAAATAAAAAGTTTTAATCTATCATTAAATCTTGCACTTTTATTTAAATTACCCATGGAGACGAAGACATTTCGAACGTGAGTAAAAACTTCGTTTGGTGCCAAAGCTCAAAATTGGTTAGTTATCATATTTAGGTGTTTGACAACTTCAAAGTTGTCAATCTTAATTAAATCCAGTAGATAATTTGATTTTTTATCCTACCAATGATGGAACGAGAATAGATATTAAATTTTGAAAATGAAAATAGAAATAGATATGATTATAAATTTTTTGAATTGAATATGAATATAAAGATAAGTAATACAACACATATATCTCTCTATATATATATTTAATACAGTAATTTTTATTTTAAATATATTAAAACTAATATATTTATATTTAAAACATATAGTTATAAAAAATTATATAAATATTCAAGATAAAAATTAGAAAAAACTAAAAATTATTTTTTATTTTTTAAAAGAGACTGTTTAAATTTATTAAATATTCATTAAGATGAGATAAATTTAAAATATTTTTTAGACATGAATATGATGATAAATATAATATAAAAATAAAATATGAGAATAAAAAATAATTTATAGATGCCGTATTTTAATCATTGACATTTTTAAATAGTTTGTTGTACGAAAACATATATTTTTTGAATTCATGATGAAATATGCAAAAAACATTTTGGATGGGAAGTCCCCACAAAGTCCAGATTAGATCAAAAGTTTAGTACAAGTGGGAAAGCATAAAGACCAATAACAAGCCATTTAAGCCAATTAAAAGCGTGATTAGATAGGTCCTTTGATCCAAAAATTCTTCCACGTCTCTCTCATCAGGTGACATTGCACACACAAGCCCATCATCATTTCCAACAAATTGACATTTTAATCCAATTATTGTCAATAAGTAATCATTTTTTCATAGACAACTTTGCACTAATCTCATCAATTTAATCTCCCATTTAATTATCGTGTAATCCAAAATCATCTTAAACATAAATAAAATAAAATAAAATAACCGGCACCTTTCATTCTTTTTCTAGCATCTTTTTGTACTTTCATGGCAGCTACAAAAATGAAAAACGCCTCCATCCATCTCACTAGTATATTTGGAACACTAGTCTTAACCGTTGATTTAAAAGAGGTGGTGTGATCAAGCGGTGTGGAAGTGAGGTGGAGGTGCACGTGAGAATGAGAAGGGGTTTTTGAAGCATGAAAAAATGGTGGACCCATCCGAGAAAACCTCACTTGAAGTGACTTAGTTCGCAACTCCTGAGTTCCCTCGCTTTCTCTGTCTGTCTGTCTCTCTCAGAAAACAGGTGAAAACATAGGCAGAGAAAGGGGATGAGAAAATAGTAGCAGTAGAAACTAGAAAAGGAGATCAACACCGTTGCAAACCAATCTCAACTACAGAGAAAAAACAATAAAAACTCATCATCTCTTGCTTTCTGTTTCCTTATATAATAAAAAAACCACCCTCATTTACACAATAATTTTTAAACAGTTTACCTTTTTCCACTTTGTTTTGGGTTTTTTGAGAGTGGGTTTTTCGTGATGGATTCACCAGCTGTGATGAGCGATGGGGGGGACAATCTGGCGGAGATCTGGCACTATCAAATGAGTGAATCTGGGATAAGGAGGGGTCAATTTGGACCTGGGTTGGGCCAGTTCGGGGACCCGAATCGAGAGGTGTCGGGTAATGATCCGGTAAGCTTGGAGCGGCAACAGCAGCAGGGAGGGGGTGGTGTGAGAAGAAGGCGTGATGGTGAAGATGACGCAGCTAAGGTTGTCTCCACTAGTAGTGGAAATGGCGTGGTATTCATTTTCATTTTCATTTCACTTGTTGCTTTTCTGTAATCAATTGAATTTTGTGATCTGAATTCTACTAACTTGGATGGGTACCTTTTATTTTGGTTAACATTTAGCTTGTCTGAAGCTCTTTAATTTTGAATGTTGGTTCTTGTTGGCTTTATGGGATTTGCTCTGGTGATTCTTATCATAACAAAATTGAAATTCTTATCGTATTTTGTTTGTGATTTTTATATTATGTGTTAATATCAAGGAAAACCAAAATTTCAACATATATGTCTGCAGAGTAATGATGGAAGTAAGCATTGAAGAAAATTTTTTGGATTTAATATGATAGTTTTGTTGAATAATTTGGGCAGAATGATGGTGATCGGAAGAGACTTAAAGCATCAGGAGATGGAGATGGGAATCGTGATTCTATAGCTGAAGCAGAACCCCGTTCAGGCAAGCCTGTGGAACAAAAAGCTCAACAACCAGAGCCACCTAAACAAGATTACATCCATGTGCGAGCAAGAAGGGGTCAAGCTACTGATAGTCACAGTTTAGCAGAAAGGGTAATTTGCACCAGGATAGGCCTAAAATCATTCTGAAATTCTTGTGCTGAATACAGACCAACATTTGATACAAACGGCATGCCTTTTGATTATGGAACTTATAACTAACCTCCTATTGTATTATCTCCTGCGATTTTTACCATCATCATGGAGTCTTGGCATTTTGGTCAAAATTCAAAGAGTTTGACATATGCAATGGTGGATTCAAGATTTTTTTTCTGAGGATGTCCATTTATAATATATATAAAAAAATTACGGACGATTTAACAATTTTATGACAGAAAGATTGTCCAGGCGAAATTTTCGTTCGAATTTTGTTATTTTCCAATCTTTGGGGTTGTCATATGCCATTTGGATCTGCCCCCTGACATACGTGGAGGTTTTGAATATTTTCACTGATCTGAATCGTTTGATGGGCAGGCTAGGAGAGAAAAGATTAGTGAAAGAATGAAAATTCTTCAGGATCTGGTCCCTGGTTGCAATAAGGTATACCATGAAATTTCCTAAACTATTTCTTTTCTACCAACCATATGCTGGCTTGTAATATTTTGTGTATAAGAAAAACTAGTGACTGGTGTTCGGCAACCTGTCTCTGCTTATCAGTAAACTGATGACTTATCCCAGATTTATCATCAGTGTCCTGAATATGGCATATTTTAAGCCACTTTCTAAGTAAGTTTTTTGAGCTCAGGTTATTGGCAAAGCACTTGTCCTTGATGAGATAATTAATTACATTCAATCACTACAGCATCAGGTTGAGGTGTGTGTCCTTCTGCTTGTGTATCACTGTATTTTTCCCCCCGGTAATAAACTTGCATTCTGAAAATTTATGGGTGTTGCAGTTCCTTTCGATGAAGCTTGAAGCAGTCAATTCAAGAATGAACCATGGCATTGAAGTATTTCCCCCTAAAGATGTATGTCGTACTTGGCTGATTCTATTGTTGACTGTGTAGTTTTATTTAATTAATTGAGACAAAAAATTTATCACATTCTTTCTTAATTGCTGGCATAGATGCATGCTTTCTACGTTGTTTTTTCTCATTCATCTAAAGTTAGAGGCTCGGAAGTCAAATCAAACTTGAACCGTGTTTGGCTTAGAATTCATGTCTGTTTGAGGCATGGTCTTCTTTGATAGTTGGTAGCCCAAAATAAGAGGAAGAGAACATACAAACTGCATTAAGTGATATACTACAGGTAAGCTGGTTGACAGACCTGGTTTTCTCTACTAAGGGTAAATTAGATGTGGCTTGGAATTAAGATTTGTTGAAGATGACATGTTATAATGTCATTATCGTTATTCAAATTCTTGGCTTCCTGTATATATTGTTTCGACTTCTAGTTTCTCAGTATTTTCATATGTCACGTTGATAGTTGGTCAAACTAATGGCTTTCTCACACAGCAATACATCTTACCTGAAATTCTTGATGGATTGCATGGTTTCCTGCTTAAGGGTTGACAAAGCTCAGAAAAAAACAGATTAGTAGTATACTATGAATCTAACTCGTGATTAATCTTTCTTGAAATGATTAATCTTAGGTAGTCTCCTAATTCCTCGTGAACTTTTTGTTGTTGTTTTCATTTGAATGAAATAATTCTAGACATCATTCTGCAGTGATGACTATGTTAAAAGGGGGGGGGGGGGGGGAGTTTGGAGTGATCCGTTGAAAAGATTCTCTTTTTTTTTTTCTCGTGACTTTTATCTGATATACCAAATTGATTTTGTCATTTCAGTATGGCCAACAAACATTTGATGCTACTGGAATGGCATTTGGTTCACAAGCGACAAGGGAATACAACCAAGGTACATCACCAGAGTGGTTGCATATCGGTGGTGCTTTTGAAAGAACAACATAATCTAGAGCTTTTGAAAGAACAACATAATCTAGAAAAGCCATTACCAATTACTAATAAGAGCATTAATTTGCAATGCTTCCTTCAGTTGTTGCCAAAGAAGTATACTGCATCATGTTAAACCAAAGATTATATTTCCATTATCAACAAGATGCATGGAACCGCAATTGCTGTCCAAAGAATGCTAAAGTTAGTGTCTGAACATCTTCATTGTTGTGTTCGGTGAATGTGTTCTTTTACTCTGTACTGATGCCTGAACAGAATCTCCTATACTTGATTGTTGTTCTTGTACAAGTAAGTTGCTTTGTTCAGAATTACTGATGCTTACATGTTGAGTCAACTTTGTTTTGTTAAAAAGCTGAAATTGTGATCAATAAATAAACCCAGTTTAGTGTTATCAGAGCTAACACCAGTTACATCCTTCCCAACAAAGTACAAGAGGGATATCTGCTTCTTACTAGTTTTTTCTTTCAGTTTTTCCTATTAACCTACAAAATGTCCTGAATCTAACCATGATAATGTTTCAGTAACCTTTTCTACAGGTACAACAACTACCAATGAAGACGAAATGATTAAACTCAAAAATATTATGAGAAAAAGTCATTTTATTTCTGATGAAAAATTAAGCGAATTACAACTCATCAAACCAGATGAGGTTTACAAAACAAGTTGGTTTAAACAATTCCAACCTTGGTCTAAACGCCATATAGAAAAACTATCTGGTGATACGGTCGCTAACGATTCTAAACAAGGATCAGTAGAAATCCCTCTTTTTACTAAAAAAAAAAAAGCCATTTTCTTTCTCGATATCTAAAGGTCAAATACATCCATATCGAAATGATTTTGATCACCATTAAACCACTCTTTTTTATCCACAAAGGATATTCCCATAATAGTTGTTTAATGGATCATCGTTGTCAAAATTCTGCTAATGCTGTAATTGGTGGAATCCAATCCAATTTAGCAGCAAGAGTAGTTTTATTCAAAGTTAAACCAAACTATTTTATTTCTATTTTTGACGAAAACATTAAGAAATGTTTATGCCTTCGAATCAAAATAACCAGTTCTAATTTCGAATCTACTTCGCATGATTTTTCAATCAATTGGTTAGCGGTTTATGAATTTATAAATACTACTAATACTTCTATCAAACTGATAGACTCCAATATTATTGAAATTTTTGAACCAAACAATTTTGATTCAGAAATTAAACCAAAACTAGTAAATCTCGCAGATTTATCAATCCCAAAAGGATGGTGTTTCGAAGATCTTTCAAATACTTCTGAAAAACAGAAAGTACCAAGTTTAGAAATTTTCTCATCAGGAAAAAATCTTTACTTCAAAAATCTAGATACATCAACCAGTTTTAATCCAAACCTAATTTTACTTCCTACAAATGTTTTTGATCATCAACAAGATAATGATACAGAGAGTATAATAAGTAATCAATCTTTTTGTACTCCTTATCGAAGTTCTTTTTCAGGTTTTCATAGTACAAACAATACAGAAGCCCTCAAAAGAGCAAATAGTATGTGCCAATCAGGTAATACTGATAATGCTCAAATCTCTATTTTTGCAGGAGATAATCCATCTCAGCAAGGTACAAGTGATAACCAAACATATTATCATTCTGTAAATTTTGTGTTAAATTCACACACTTCTTCAACTAGAAAAACTAGAAATAAAGATATTAAAATGTTTCATTATATAAATAATTATCATATATCCGCACAAAACGTGCCAAAAATAATTTCTTTTGCTAAAAAAGTTCATTATTATACTTATATAGAAGGATATTTTTATTTCTCAAACTATAAATCATATAGTTTAAATATTTTGATTGACACAGGAGCAACAATTTCTAGCTGTCGACCCAATGCTTTGCCTTCAACAAAATGGCAACCTATAAGGCAACCTATGAAGCATCCTATAATAATAGTAGGTATTGATGGTAAAGAAACCATAGTTAACCTAAAAGCAAATAATATTCCTGTTGCCTTGAACGGTAGGAAATTTATTAAACCTAAAATATTATGTTTTCCTAATATGCATTGAAACATTCTGTTAGGAAATAATTTTATACATAAATATTTACCATTTTTTGTTTTCCCTAATTATCTTACTTTTACTATTGATAAAAAATCAATAGATGTTCCTCTTTTATCCAAGCATAATCATGTTTGTGATAATGGTTTTCATCCAGAAATAACACATATTTTCTGAACTTAAAGCTATTAATGAAAAACATTGGCTTTATAAGATTTTGTAAGAAAACTTTAGTGAAGACCCATTAAAGCTTTGGAAGTGAAGTCCCAGATACTGTAAACTTATTCTTCATTCTCCACAAGAGATTATTAGAGAAAAACCCATGATCTATATCAAACAGGATATAGATGAATTTGAAATACAAATTTCAGAATTGCTCAACAAAGGTCTGATAAAACCAACTATCAGTCCGCACTTAAGTTCATCATTTTTGGTAAGAAACCATTTTGAGATTAAATGAGGTAAACCCTATATGGCTATTAATTACAAGAAATTAAACCAAAATCTTGTTTTTGATGGCTATTTTATCCCTTGTAAAGACGTTTTGATTAATTTAGCAAAAAATGCTAAATACTTTTCTAAATTTGATTGCAAATCAGGTTTCTGGCAAATCATGCTGAATGACATTTCTAAACCTTTAACTGCTTTTAGTGCACCAGCAAGTCATTACCAATGGACTGTTATGCCTTTCGATCTATACAACGCCCTTCAAATTTTTCAGCGTTGGATGAATAGTATTTTTAACAAACATAAATAATTTTGCTGTGTTTATATTGATGATATTTTAGTATTTTCAAATACTTTAGATGAGCACAGGAAACACCTAAATCTTATTGCTCAAAAATTTATTTTACATGGTATTATTTTGAGTCCCAAAAAGGTTGAACTTGAAAAAACAGAAATTAAATTTCTTGGTCTTAATCTATCTGCAAATGGACTAACATTGCAGGATCACATTATATCAAAGATCAAGGAGTTTTCAGATCAACTGGATAATGTCAAACTGCTACAACAGCTGTTAGGTATAGTCAATTATGGTAGGTAATTTTTCAAAAACCTTTCCAAAAAGAAAAGCTATCTTTTGCGTAAATTACGAAAAGATAATGATTTTGTCTGGACACCGAATGATTCTGATATTATCAAACAGATCAAATCAGATTTAACCACTGTACCTAAAGTCTTTCTGCCTAAACAAGGTGATTTACTTATTTTAGAGATAGACGCCAGTGATGAACATTGGGGATGCGTCTTTAAAGTAAAAAATCTTCATAAAAAAGATGAATTGATTTGTGGCTACAATTTCGAGAAATTCAAACTGAATGAAATAAATTATATTATATTTGAAAAAGAATTATTAGCCATAAAGAATGATGTACAGTGTTTTCACATCTATTTAGTCCCAGAGATCTTTGTTATCAGAACAGATAACCAAGCAGTAAAAAACTTTCTCCAAAATAGAAAGCTTTCTGATAATCCTAAGTGAATTAGGTGGTATAACTTTCTTTGCCAATATCATTTTCAGGTAGAGTTCATCAACGGAGATAAAACCCTCATTGCAGAGTATTTAAGTCGATCACATGGATCGAGAAAAATAACCAATCCATGATACAGGTGGATGAAGAATAATCAAGAAGAAGATAGGTTAAAAACCCTCTTTCTCTTCTTCTTCTACTCATTCTTCTCTAAAACCTCTGGTTTCTACAAATCCTAACCCATGATTTAACTTTTACACTAATCCTAACCAAGGATTATATCTCTACCAACATTCACTTTATAGACCTCTTTTCATGAGAATTCAACCAGAAATTTTTAATTTGCTCAAGACCAAACGAATGGACTCTTATGAGTTATTCACAAATAGTTTCTTCAGTAGAACAACTGCTTGAAAGAACAAAACTCTCTAACCCATAGATTAATGATTTTTATAACCCTGGACTTGAACCACAAGTCTACAAATTGTTAAACAATGTTTGAAAATCCCATCTCTCAAAAAACAAATCCATCTTTCAAAAAGGATGATCAAATTAGCTGAGTTCTTAGTCAACTAGGCTAAAGAATTTCAAAATTTCAAAGAAATAGCTTTTCAAAGTCTTCTATCAACAAATCTGTTAAAACAGTAAGATATTGATTTCTTTGCTTTGGAAGAAAATCAGTACAGTCTTCAAGAGATAAACAATTTTTTAAATTTGTGAATATTTTGAAAAAAAAAATTATGTTTCCTCTAAGCTAAACAAGCTTAAGAGAATTTTTTTTTTTTTGAAAAAACTACAATATTCTTAACCAAAAAATTATTCCAGCAAATTAATTCTTCTATTTTACAATCAATAGAAAACCTATTGATAGAAATTTTTTTTTATTATTATACTTCTACGTATATGTATAATACTTCTTTTAACGATATATACCTAAAATTAAATTTTGACTTGATCATGAAACCTTTGATGTAAAAAGCATTGAATTTGATTTAGTCGAACAAATTACTATACAAAACTTTTCTTTTCACCTTTTAAAAGATTTTTCAGCTTTTATAAAATATCACTTTATTGAATGTGTAAAATGGTCAAAACATTTTTACTACATTCATTTTACCATATATAGTATTTTGGGTACCTTTCAAAGAGAAAGATTTTACCAACCTTATCAAATATAGGAATTTGATACAATATCCAGTAGACATTTTTTTCAACCCCTTAATATACTTGATCCACCAACAAATCATATCGAGTTTTCAGATGATTTAAACAAAATCATCACTAAATATACCAATCTAAACAGCTACCATTTTCAAATAGAAACTAATCTTATGGACAAAGCAAAATTCTTTCATCTAGCCATAAAACCAGACCATCCAAAAATAGCTTGCTGGATAGATGACAGACGTATTTTTGTTATTAGATTTTTTGAACCACATGATGATCTTGATATACAAAATGCTTCAGATGCAATTGAGTTACTGAAAAAATTATCAAATATGAAAGATCTAGATCATCTAATAGAATTACTATACCAATACCAAGAAGGATGGCAAATGTGAAATAAATCACATTCTGGATCTTCTCAATCTCTCTTGTCCCTTAACGCACTGGATGAAGAATTTTATAACTTAAACAATGCTATGAAAGGATAAAATTATGCATATTCTAATCCATGATAAGTCAGAACAAATAGTCGACACTAAAAGATAAACTACACTTGGCGTCAACGACCAGCAGACAAAAAATATTGTAGCAGTCAACTGTAGTAGTCACTGTAATAGACAGATAAAACATCACTGTAGCAGTCACTGTAGTAGAAAAAGATAAAGACCTACAATGGAAGACACTATAATAAGTTACTGTAACGATACTGTAGATAAAATTTCTACTGTATACTGTAGCGGTAACTGTACAAAGT